AAAACATATTTATTACAATACTAACGTACTTTACTAATGTGCCAGCTTACTGTCTGCTTAACATATATGAATATGACTAGGAGGTTCCCATAATCTAACTGGTTGGTTTGGTCACATGTCTGAGACTGGGTATGAAAGGAGCTTCCACCAAAGGATCAGTCTGCAAATGGTCAACTCTGTATCTCAGTGTCATTCGATGACATTTCTTTGTCTTTGGTCTTTGTCTTTATTATTTCAATTTCAGTGTGTTTTTCATTGTTCACATATATTATTCACACACAATAAAAACTTTACTGTCATTTAATATTTTTGCCATGTCATAATTTTACACATTCTTATGAATGTATTACTTGGCTTTTGTGAAGACTGTCATGTAGTGCAGGTATTTTATTTTACCAGTGTAAGACAAAATAAAATACTACAAATTGTATTTAAAAATATTGAACAATTCAAAATTAAACTATTCTATTTGTTTTTAAAAAAAAATTGTTCTCTTTTTTTACCAATTGGAAATTAAAAATCAAAGATCTGACACTATTCATTATTGTTTTTTACCACACGTCCATTCATTACTAGCAAATTGAAACTGATACAAATTCTAATAAATACATTTTATTTATCTTCTAATTTGCACCACGTCTTTTGACAAAACTAATTTTCTAATTCTTATTTTATCTGAGGTAAATTATCATTTAATTTTGTCAGAAAATTTGGTCAGGAAATTGGTTCCTAAAATGATTTAATAATTGTTTTTTTAATAATCATTTTTTTGGTAAATTCTGACAGGAAAGCAGTAAATGTGCTAGTTGGACTGGATACATTTTGAACATCAAAAATGTAATAAAATGACATCCTGCATCTCTTTATTTTAATTAATTATATTAATTATAGTATGTTGACTAAAAAAACATTAGCTAACTGCACGTTCTATGGACTATGCATTGTTTTGACAGTAAACAACGTAAAATATTATTATGAAAAATTACAAATGATATTTAACGTGATTATTTACACAAATTATTATATGAAAATATACCAATATTTCCCAAGACATTCAGCGTTATAAAACCTTATAGCTTTATTTCTATTTTAAACCTATATCATCCTATTTTTTCTTTATCCTGAGGTCATTGTCATCGAGTGTGTTTAACCTCTGCTCCACCCGTGACGTGCTTCAAACACTAACGCGACTTCTTCATGTCCGTCAGGGGATTTAACCGAGCAGCTCAGCTGTGGGTAACAGCGACTCTCAGTGGCCAAAGAGTGGAACGACTGCAACGTCACAGCTGTGTGAATGATATTTTTAATAATGTTATCCCATCTACAGAATAAACACTTAGCACGCATTAAAAAGCTGAGCACGAGTCAACCGGGGTGAGACGCTGTTGTAAATGTTACTTTACTACTGTTTACTTCAAGTTTATTTTACTGTTTAGAATCAGTTACTTAGACAAACCTTACGCTGCAGTCTTGTATGTTAGCTCACACAAACTGAGCACCTTTACAGTAAAACAAAAACATTCACCCTGTTCCAGAGTACTGATGTTTTTCACCTTGATTCAACTCATAATTGTTTTAAAACCAACGTGTCTGTTAAACATTTTCAGAGTCGAAATAGACATAGGTTTGGGTTCAGCCAGGACGCAGGAACCGATGGAATAAGGATACAGTAGTTATGATAGCTAGTGAATGGTTAGCTTTTCGTAGCTTTTATGTAAAAGCCATTGCTTTTAAACCCATACCTGTTGGCAGTGTTTCCCAACATGTTACATTAGAAAGACCCCATTGCGCATTACCACAAAAAATGTCACAAAAACTATGTGAAAGACAATAAAATGCATTGATCGTCTAAAGTCAGTTAGAGTACTCAAAATGTACTTTGTATTAAATCCTGGCCTATTTATTTGAAAACATCCCTGATGCACTCACAGGAATTCAAGAAAGAGTCTCTCTATATTTAGAGTTTTATGATCATCTGGTACCACCTAGCGGGCAATTATTAAATCGTTCTGCCTGACACTGTTGCATTGATTGACAAAGAAAGTTTTTTTGAGCAATTAAGCGAAACCGGACGTTTTCGACGATCTCCCACGACACAGCAATGGTTGAGTATCTCTGCTTTAATGACTAGTGATGTTTTCAGTTTGATGAGAAGATATTTGGTTGTTTGGTTTGGACGACAGCTTGTTTTAACAAATGTAAATATGTCAGTTTTTTTTAATGATTTTGTAAAAGGTAGAACTTTATCATAAATTAAAAGTTGATCGAATTAATATGGGTCCGTCAAGTTTCTAGCGTTAACTTTCTTCTCCATCCTCCTTCTTTATTAACTCCCTCCTCCTCCTCCTCCTCCTCCTCCTCACTCCAGGCACCTTGTTAAACATCTTGATTGTGTTGTAATGAACAGCAGCCTGAACTCCAAAACTCTTCCCCACTCCTGTGTTTATCTGCACATTCTCCAACAATTAATCCCGTCCAGCGTGGACTCGTTAATATTCTGCTCCACTCCGCTCACAGATGTAAAAAGCATTCTCAGCTGACACACGTAATTACTGTGATGCATCCTGCAAACCTTCTCCCTTGTCTGAGCGCAGTCTCGAACAACCCGGCACGGTGTAGCTAATTATTGATAAATAAAATTAGTTGGGAGAACTTCAGGTGGGTGGAGCCCCGGGGCCGTGCACGCGGCAGACACCTGCGGACAAGCGTGTGCACGAAGGAGAGAAGGAGAGACGGGGAAAATAGCGGTGACCTGTAATCACCAGGAACAGCAGGGACTTAATGATGTTTTGATTCCATGATCAAATTTCAGCTCAATCATTTCAGACACCTGTGCAGAGACAAAGGCCGAGCCTCAGGAACGAGGAAGTTGGTGTGTTTTGTGTGGTTAAAGTGTTCTTCGTCCAAAGCAGCACATGTAGAACTGCAGCACAGGAGAACACTGTCTGACCCCGGTCTCATTAGGGTCTACGAAGTATCTACAGATACTGGACGACAAACACCGTTTGGTTCTCTATATATTCTATTCTTAACTTATTGTTTTAGAACAATTAAATATATATTTTAATGAAGAAAAGAGAGGGAGTTTAAAGTATACGGACGCGCAGAGAGAAGGCAGGAGGCAGATACATGGATATTTACCTCCCTCTTCTGGACAACATCGGTAAAACCACTTTCAATTGAATACGTTCCACTTTAAAGTCGGTTCACCTTTCAAGGGAAATTTGTTTTTGAATATTTCTTTTAAGACAAAGAAACAGGCTGTGTGTGAACTTGCTTACCTGTGCCCATGGATGGCAGCAGCTACACATCCCCACAGCTGTTCTTTAACATTGGAAATCAGCTGCCTGGAGCAGAGGTCAGATCTGGAGAAACACGAGGACCGAGTTAACATTGTGTAGTCAAAATCCCAGCTTGCAGTGTATACAAATGGTTAAGGAAATGAATGATTTTTTTTTTTTTTTTTTTTTAAAGGTCAAAACAAAAGTCATGCTTGGTTGTACTTGATTCAGCGAGTGCAGTGAAAAGTACGTTTCTATCCACAGGACTGGCTTGGCTGATTAGTCCTGTGGATACAGCAGCTGTGCTCAGTTAGGCAATTGAAGAGGAAAGTGGAACAGGAAGTGCAGTGACGTGGAGAAGAGAAATACCTAACATAAACCAAATTCACTAAAACATCACCTCATTAAACATTGCACATTATTCATTTTTTTAAATACTTCATTTTTTTCATTTTTGTTAAAGAGTAATCAAATAAATACATTTTTGAATTGGTCTTGTTGAAGTCTTTCTGTTATAATCAATTGGTTTAGGATCACAATACGTTTTTGAATTGGTCTTGTTGTAGTCTTGTTATAATCTGTTATAATCTGTTATAATCAATTGGTTTAGGATCAAATACTACAAAGACTGAGACGTGTAATTCACCTGTTTGTCCACATCTTTTGTTATTAAGCAGATAAGTCTAACAATTTGAACATTAGCATGATTGCCACCAACCTTTTGTCATAGTCATTACATTAGTTTTGTAAAAAAAAAAACATGCAGAAAGTCCTGTGTTTGAGCCCAAGGAGAACCACATATTTGGCACTTGGTCAAATTGTGTAAAAATTACTTAATTACTAATTTCTTTTAAAAAAAAGGTTTTAGTCTAGGATTCCCATTCCCAGGAAAGTCTGAATTGTAAATTCCGGGAAAGGTGGTTCCATAGTGTTGTAGTTATCATGTGTGATTACACATCTGCCTTACACAGTGAAGGTCCTGGGATTGAGCCCCAGGACCACCTGGAGCCTCCTGTTGCAGCAGATCTGCCACTATGGAATCAATAAAGTTCTTGTTTTTTAAAAGGTTTAGACGAAAAAAAAGTTCAAGTATCACTTTACATGAAAACTTTCTGACCTCAGCGTTGACAAGCTGGTACGACAGCTAACTACGTCAACATTAAAAGTAAAGTCCCTGTTTTCCATAACTGTGATTTATGCAATGCAAAGGGGAGCGAATATACCAGCACTGTGGGAGCCCTGATAAGAAACAAATGTAAAAATCAATTTTCCATAGCAGGCAGAAGGGGGCGTAAGTTCTGGAAATGGTTGTCATTGATGCACTTGCATTTGCTCTAAGATTCCTTTAGAAGAAAAAAAAAAACTGTTCTGTACTGAGTGAAAAAGTTATGTGATGTCGCTGGGAGCTACCAAACAGATTCCATGCATGTATTTTTGAAACAGTCACTGCCAGGAACCTGTCACTTCTGACTGCATGACGTCCCATTCCGCCAAAGCAATATTATTAATGCTGACAAGATATCTGACAAAGACTGGGAGGAATCTGTCATTAGCAGACGCTAATTCATGCAGAATGAAACACGCAGCAGATTCTTCTTATTTTCCTGCGGTCTGCGGAAGCTTGCGTGGGGTTTCCTTTGGTTCCAGTGATTAAAGGAGCGCTGTTATCGTGGTACATGGCGCTAGACTCCTGGATACAGATTAGAGCACATTAAAACATTTTATCACGCCTGTTTATTACTTAGTCTTATAGAAAGTCACAAAGCACAACAAAAGTGAGGAATGTAGAATCTTTTTTTTTCTTATTTAACTATTTTGTCAGGTTCTAAAATGGAAATTATTCAAGGCTTAGTGCTAACATGTTGACACAAGATTAAAAAAGGGATAAAGTTTGTTTGTTATCAGTTCGAAAAATCCATCACCAGAAAGAGGAGGAGGTAACAATACTGCAGTCTTTTCCCAGTGGTCATGTGATAACATAGAGTCATATTGTATTTTGTTTTTCTCTCTTACTACTCTGGCTTTTCGACCCAGCACAGAGAATTTCCCACACCACGGCCATCGTTATGATGAGGTGTGCGGATCCCAAATGTGAGGTCCCTGTTGAAATGATGTGGGTTGTAGTTCCGATTAATCTGTTCTCCTGCAGTGGAACAAAAGGCTTTGGGTTATGTCGGGAAGTAAATACTGCATTTGAAAAAGATAAAGATTCTAAATATCAGTATTGTTGTGTACTTTTTTGGCTTCTCTTACCAACAAAAATTGAATTGCGACTTCTAACAGAACCCCTGCGTCCTGCGTGATATTGTGTCTGCAGATCCCCCCATGGTTGTAGAGGATAAATAGTTTCTCTAGCACCAACTCCTAAAAAGGAGAATGTGACATACTGGTAAAAAACAAGGTTAGATAGATGGATGAAACTTTATTAATCCCTCTGGAGTTCCCTTTGGGAAATTAATTCTCTAGCAGCGGGATAGCACCATAAAAACATGCAATAGAAACATGAATAAAACTAGAACAAGACAAGAACAGCAGGCCACCATAACAGGAAAGAACCTGAGCCCCTGGAACAGTGTATAGACTGATTGATATATAGATAGATTGTTGATGTCATCATGTCAGGTTATTATGTGTACTGTTATTATTACAATTCTAAGTATATACTGCACTATACTCAATATATGGTATTTTATTTTAATTATTAATTATTCTTATATATTTATGTATATATAAATATAAATAGTTTTAACAAGATATAATAGCATATGTATTTTAATGAGAATATTACTACAGTATAATGCTAATAATTAGCAGATACAACAATTCCGTTTATTACATTTATATATGTAGAATTATCCTCGGTTTACGTCGTCCTTGGTTTGTGCTGTACATATGGGTTAGCACAGCTTTAATTTCCACACAACAACCGGTCATTAGCTCTTTTTTGTACTTTCTGCTGCAATGAAAACTTGCGTGGAGAATTATTTTTAAGCATTGTTGTTTTCCCCTTTTTATAATTTGTACATTTTGTATATTCTCAACATTCAAGAATAACTGTAAAATCATGTTCACTGATCTGAGCTGACCTTTTTCTGTTTTGATGCCATGCACAGTGTTGTCATTGGTGTTAGGTTGATTACGTGATCTGCCCAGCGGTGCCCTCTGACTGGAGCGGTATACTGTTTCATTCAGCTCCTGTATCTTCTCCTGAACCAAGGACATCTGAGGTGGATTCAACACACTGTGAATCTAAAGGAATTGACAAAAAAGATGTAAATGAACATAAAAAATATATATAAATATATGGTCAAATTAAAACTTATTTCAAACATTGCCTGTTTCTTAAAGAAGTAAATACACATGAATACAAATAAAATCAGTGGAAATTAGATTTTAAGATGGTGGTGGATAATGGAAATCAGCAGTGATGTCACTACAACTTCTTGTCACTGCAGTAAGATTGGCTCCACTAGAGGGCAGCACAAATGTTTCACCCAACAATTTCTCACTACATCACCAAGTCAAGCAAAAGATGGACAATGTTGGGCAGCTCTGAGCTAAAAATATGATCACCCATCAACTGATGTGGGCTCATACAATAGCACTCTAACAAAATTATGACTGTGAGTAGGTTGGACTTGCAGAAGGAGATGAAGTGGTTATTTTGCCGTGAACGAGTTCGCTGGCAACATCGGGGTCGTTGGCCTTCCCTGGGTGTTTTCTGGAAGTTTCAAATGCGGTCCGGGCACGGAATTTCTTTATTCTAGGTGGAGTGCTGGGCTGAAAAGTGCTGGCATCAAACTGTTGATATTTTGAGAAATAAACAATATTCACTTTTACTTTTGTGGAACTATTTAAGTGAATACATTTTCTTTTCTAAAAACTAGAAAAAAAGGTAGTTCTTTAGCATGTCTCCTGCTAGAGTAGTTTTTCCTGCCTTGTTAAAATATATAAACAAAATTATAATAGGTACCTTCAGAGCATTTATAAATCTGTTTTCCTTTGTATCTGTACAGATACCAACACAAACATTTGTTTTTTATCAGGGGCCAGCTTAAACAGTCTCAGTACAGTAGCACATTTCCCCTTTAGGGTGTGGTGAAGTGGTTGATCACAAAAAAATGCACAGCTGGGATTTTTTCCTTGGATATTGTGATATATAATTAATTTTCTTTTTTAAATACACATACATACATTAAAAGCTTTTTCTAAAGGATTATTATAATGAGTCATAATATTTAGCAGACAACAGTATACTACTGTAAATTCAAAAAGTACATAATAGTACAAAACACCAAAAGAACTACTCTTGGAGTACATGAAGAAATAGTGACTATTATCTCTATTTTTGCTTGGGAGCTACTATTCAAATGACTAGACTACACAAACCTATATCAAGTTGTTTTTGTCTACAATATTTTAGAACATTTAACAATATTAGCATGTTAATGTACAAATTAATATCCGCGTGTTTGTTTTTCTGCCCAGTCACCGACAGCAGTTTAACAGTTAAAGTCACTTACCATCGGCGTGTCCTGTATGGTCTGGTCATTTTTCAGGTCACTGTTAGCGTCGGGTAGACTCATTTTAAGTAAACACTATCTATACAACAGTACAACAACAGTGGGAATCGTTTTTTTATTATTCATCCACGTTTCGATGTAAAGTCTCTGAAACGTTTTCTTAAGTGAAACTATTGACTCTGTTGAGCGAGTGTTGGTTTCAATTCAGTAACCGGGCAACTACAAACATGGCGTATGAACTAATTGAACTAATTTCTACTTAATTTCTAATTGTTAATATTGCACAATTAAAGATGAAAGCTCTGAACGTCGTCTTACCGTGGCATAAACACGTATAATTAGTATTTTAAAAATTGTGCAAACGCTAAAACATACGTCGAGGTGACTACTTCCGGTTCTCAAAGAAAGGCGTTATCAACGTGATGTCATGTGTTTACAAAGGAATAACACATAAAAGCAATTTATAATAAAGCACTTCTAATCTGAAACTGTACGAGTGTTTTGATAGTAGAATTTAAGGTACAATTCTGTCGTTTTTGTACGGTTTAAAAATAACCTTAGCGATAGGTATCACAAACCTGACAACATAATCACGTAAGAAATTGTTTAACTTAATCGCTTTTCAGGGTTCTTACAGAAATGTTTGTCCTTAAAGTGGAGTTGATGAAACATGCAAACTGTCACCTGTATTTATGCAATATGCAGATACAAATAAATAAAACATGGGAACATTTTTCAATATGATAATTTTCTTTTGAGTGCAAACAAAACATTATTAGTAGTAGTATTAGCAATATTAGAAATGGGGGTTATGGTCAAAGCAGTAAAGGTTAGAAAACAAATGTGACCGTTATATACTTAATATATACTTAAATAAACTGGACATAATGGAAGGAAAAATGTCTTATTGATATAGTTAAGTCTGTTTGAGCGAAAGTTCAAAAACCTATTTGGTTCTGTCATTATATATATATATATANGTAATGCCTTCACCCCACAGATATCTGTGAACTTGTCATGGATGTTTTAAGTCCATCTATTTGTATGTTTATACAGTTTCAGGAATCATTCAATTCATCAAAAAACAAGAAAAACAAAAGCAACCAAGCCATTTTAGAAAAAAATATAATTTAAATAAATATGGTTTAAATACATGTACAATTATGAGTCCTTTCAGACACAACACATGCTGATAGATTTTTAAACAATGTTTAGTCTAGTTGACTTTGGTGAAACAAAGATGGTAGAAAACATTGTATTATGTTTGTGTCTTTTGGTAAAATATGACTTATGTGTTACTGTTGTAACAATAAACAAGAATGTCTGTTAACTTTAAAGCTGTCGGATACTCCTGTCGCCCCCCAAGGCTGCCCTTAAAACATTTTTCCCAAACAATTTCCCATCAAACAGGGGGATTATCCTGTTTTTGATGAGACACTTAATTATAATAAATGATGGATATGAAAAAGGTTTTTTTTTATCTATGTTGTCTTGATGCTTCCATAAACATTTAATTCCTTGAGTACGCTCCTGAAATTCTCAATGCAAACTCTTCCTTTTGGGTCTTTTTCAGCTGCCAGCTTCCACGCCTTCTCAAAGGTTTCCTCAGACAAATCCAATCCCAGATCCATGAAGATCTGTGTGATCTGTGAAGAATACAATAAAATATTCATATTTGGATCTACCTGCACCATAAAACATACAAATAAACGGAGACAGTGATCTTGGTTCTGTGATAGTAAGGTGGCAGATGATGAGGTCTAATTGGTTGCATCATCAGTTGTGAACTTACAAAAGTCAATTATTTTACACCAGGTTCTTTGAACCAATATTCTTTCCATACTTATACTTTGATATTTGGAATACACTGCATTAGTGATCTGACCTCCTTCCTACTGCGAGGGCATTGAAGGTGTTCTCTGTAAACACCATGCTGGGAGAAAGCTGTTGGATACAGAAGATCTGCAGCTGTGGTCATATCACCATAGTTGGTAAAGTCGCAGACGCTCTTGATGGTTGGAGCCGGAAGATCTGATCGCACAGATGGAATCCCATATGTGCGATTTTCTACGGATAGGGGGGAGGAGGATAAGTGCACTGTCTACACCAGACAGAGATGAAGGTAATGTAAATAAGAGAAATGATACCAAACATTAATGTTGCAGATCAAGCAAGAACAAAGGCACAAATGCCTACGTATTTTTTTTCTGTTTCTTGTGTTTGATCCATTTATCATTTATATAGGTCAAATTTAACATCCTTTTTTAATATACTAAATTGCATTATTAGCACCAGACGAACTGAAATGTTCCATAAAAAAACAGTGAATTTAAATTAATAAAAATTGGTAGCCACTCGCTGTTTAGCAGCCACTCACCTCTCAGTGGGAACCGAGAGAATGCACCAATGTAGGATGAGGTGGTGACAAACTGTTCTGGATCTGAATCGTCCAGTCTCAGTCTTCTGACAGTTTTCATAGAACTGCCAGGTGTTACAGGCTCCAGATCCCCAGGTTGAACTAAAAACTGCTCTGTGTCATCTAATGCTTCTGCCTGAGGCTCTGCATGATCAATATTTGGTGTTAAAAATAAATATTAATGATGTTTAACAACACAGTCACATTTCAAGAATTAAAACATTCTTTCTTTTAGCAAATGATGTCTCGTGCATTCAACTGACCTTTTGTCAGAATCTCTTGATCTTTTTCATCAATAGGCATCGTGTCCTTCCAGTTGAGGAAGTTTGCAAACTCGACAAAGTTTATATGTCCATCCTTGTCCGTATCACAGAATTCTACCAGGTCTTTGATGACGTCATCGGTAAAATTTAGTTGGAACTTGCGGAAAACGGTCTTTATATCTTCTTTGTTGATCAGTCCCTTCCCTGTCTAGTGATTGACACAAGAACCGACTTTAGGTAGAAATCAATCAACACAAGTTGTTGTAACAAAACTAATGGTGTTCTTTTGAAGAGGCCTTATTGTAAGAATAGTGAATGACATCACTCATCACTTAGTATCAGTGGAGTCACCTGGTAAGTAACGAATCACTACAGTACATGTGTTCTCCAACATAGAAAAGGTAACGACTACGAATTGTTAGCCTGTGTCGTGCATCCAAAACTTGCTACACTTAGCTAAATTTCATTCCAACTAAAAGTCAGAAATGATTCGATCCAATACTCAGGGTTAGTAACGGTTGTTGGCCAAACAACTATAGTCTGTCCAACCCCCTAAGCCCAAATGCTCACCATTGCACACGATTTATTCTTAAAAAGTTGGTACATACAGATTCATTTCCAATCAGGGTCAGTTTTTAATTTAGTGCAAACCTTGTCATAGTATTTGAAGGCCTCTAGCAGGGATGAAAAGTGATGGTTATTGAGCCGCTTGAGGTCATGTCTCAAAAGGTTAACCAAGCTGAGCTGTGGCTCTGGACCTCTGATATACTGTCCTGGCTCTGTGCAATGGATTATTTCCCCGGCGCCTACACAGGGGGGAAAAAAATTAGACAAATTGGTGACATCATGCTTGCAATGGCTCAAGCACTTGAACAATGACAAAGACTGACGGACAACAACACTAGTCACCAACCAACCACTTGGCACCAGTCTTAAGCTTGTAACCTTGATGAAGGCAATACATTGCATGTGACTCAGGGTGGGTCTCAGTGTATCTTTCTAGCCATAACTGAACTTTGCATGCACTGTTACATGCATGACATTGCCTAAAAATAACAGAAGCAACGCAGATATTTAGATTCCAGTTTCATCGGAAAACTGATTACACAGAGATGCAGTTGTATAGGATAATATGAACTGAGCAGGAAATCCAAATCGGCTAGACATATGAGCAGAATCTGTTGAACTTACATCCTATACAACAGGGGTCCCCAACCTTTGGTCCGGGGACCGGTGGCAGTCCATAAATCATTTGGTACCGGGGCACAGTGGGACACAGTAAAAACATGTACTTCTGTTTACTAATTTACTTTACTCAAATAGAATCTAGTCATATCCCTCTAACCTTCAACGATGGCGCGGTATTAGTAGTCCCCAAAAAAGGTTGAGGACTGCTAATATACAGGACAGAAAGCTGTCTATTTTGAATTTTGTAATTAATTCTACACATCTGCTTGCCTGTTTCGTCTCTTATTTATGAAGTTCCCTATGTTAAAAGCAGTACTTCCAGTCATTGTTGTGTTGTGTGGGAATCAGTAGACACCTGTGCTGCAGTCCCATCAAGTCCTGACACGCAGGGAGAGCTGATCAGCACTGCCTGCAGCCTAGTCTAGTCCTGAATTCTGCTCAACGTGCTTCACACTACATTCCATTTACCCATTTATCTCTTATACATTATTATTTCACATACAAGATACTGTAACTTGGGGTTTATTTCCCCAACTGTCAGTGTGAATGAAGAACTCCATTTCATACAGTCTACTAACATCCAAGCATTGACCTACCAAACTCATCTGGCGGTACGTTATTCCCAAAGCGGTAGTCTTGAGGGAGATTTAAGGCAAGACGTTGCCTGAAAAAAAATGTAATAAGAGCAAGGGGTTAAAAGTTTGTAAATTGATATTCATCGATGAAAAGGTGAAAAATATGAACTCACATCCTGAGTCTCTCTGAATCCTTTAGTTCCCTGGTCCACATTGTTAAAAAATGGTCGTATGATGCAAAACAAAAAAAAAGAAAAAAAAGTTAGGTACAACCCAAAATACTTTATTTTGATGAGAAGCACAGTGTTTTTGAATGTGGGTTTCTTTTAGTTAAATCACTCACTTATTTGTCTCCCCTTGCCAACATAGACTTTCACTGACTTCCCTTCCATCTTTATGGTGAGGGGTACAAATTCCAAACCTGTTGTACTTACTGAAGTGACCAGAGTTGTAATTTCTATCGATCTGTTCACCTGCAGTTAATCAGGTCATGTATGAATAAGAAGCCCACAAAAGAGTAGAAAAACATTATATTCAAAAGTAAAGGTAGTATTCTTACCAACAAAATAGGATTTGTGGCTGAGAACATAAGCCTTGTGCAACTCTTCATCTTCCAGTTCCTTGCATTTTTTTGATGGGTAAATAATCTGCCTAATATCAAAACCTGGAAAATAAAGAATGTTTTTGTATATTTAAACACCTCATGTCATAAATTGTAGTTTAAAATGTGAATTTCAGAAATGTTTTCCAATGAACCATTCAACAAACATGAATAAAGTAAAAAAAAAAAGAAAGAAATTGTGCGTGTGCATTAAAAACTATTTCTTGACATAGTTTTTAGTGTAGATTCGCCTGTTTATAATATAGAATCTATATTCTCTATATTCCTGTTCATTCATCTCCTGTCAACTGGGCAGTAACCTTAAAACCCATTCTTGGCTGTCATTTGTACCTGCGTCTGTTTTGAGGCCATGGACGATGTCATCAGGAGCTTGAAAGCGTGACTTGCCCAGAGGTGCTCTCTGAGTGGACTGGTACACTGCTTCACTCAGTTCCTGCAACTTATTTTGAAATCCAGTCTTTGGTCGTGGGTTTATTAGGGTCTGAATCTGTAGGAGGCACAAAAAAAAAGGAAAAAAAAGAGAGAAAACGTTGATAGGAGCCTACAGTGGTCCAGAAAATCCAAAATAATTTAATTGGACAGGTTTAAATTTTAGTTGACTTTGTGTTGACATTTGGTAATCCTTGTGCTACCTATAGCAATATGCCTGGGAGGAATAAATATAATTTGTGCAAAGTTAACCGTGCATAGCCTCTATATTACAACCATTATCAATCCATTACACAGAATATTTTTTTTCCAAATTAGTTTAATTTTATAGAGCAAATACTATGGAGGATAACGCAGGATACTGGAGGACAAGAGAAAGCACAACAGCCGACTCTACAGTGACATAACTTCAAACAGGTTGAGGAAAGGCTAAAAATGCAGGAACATGAAAAAATACTAGTAGTTTAATATGATGAGCTGAAATTAAAATAAACCAATCAAAGTAAAGCTAGGCCGGCCCTGTGGGTCACATACCGTTGGTACTTTGGGGTTGTATTTGGCTTGGGGAGCTTCATTTTCATTATTTGCTTTCATTGTGGAAAAACAAATCCTAGAAATAGCCTTAGAAAGACTTTATTCTTTCTTCCTTTTCCTGATTAGTGAATGTCACCATTGCGTACTGCAGACCATCAGTACTTGTACTTAAATAAAACGTGGCACTGACATGTGATGTCATGTTCAATTAATCTTTCATGTCATCTTGTCCTTTAATCTTGGCACTGGTACGAAGGCAGGTATTTCGTTTTATTTTTCGGTAGGTAATTGTATCTTCCTGTGATTTGTGCTCTATCATTCCATGCTTGTATATTTTATTTGTGATGTTTTATTATTCTTGGTTGAACTGCATATTATGTGGTCTTTAAGAGGCTTCTTGACCACACAGTGGCAAATGTTGTTAGAACACCCCTGGTCAATCTGTATGGAGTCGGCATGTTGGTGTGTGTGTGTGTGTGTGTTTTCTTTCTAATTATGAATGAATGTTACTTATCTCTACATGTATCTATAAAGTTCATAAAATAAAAAATAAACGACTTAAATAGTTTAACCTGTATTTTGGTCCTTTGTCTAATAGTTCTCATATACCTCAGTGTGGGATCAGTGAAGTTTAATCTAATCTAATTTAATCTTTTTCATCCAATATTATTGCCTTTTTACCAGGTTCTTTGACCTTAAATCGCATATGTTTATTATATTGCATATACATAATTAATAAAAAGGTTTTATCTAATAGATCTACGTATTAGATAAAAAATAGAATATAGAAAATTACCTTTTTATTACTATTTTTAACCTCCTACGACGGCATTACAGAACAAAAATAACTAACTAACAATGATTAGAAACATCATATGTGACCCCTCTTTGGAACCCTGAACCAGTGTTTAGAAATTACTGGTGTATAAGTATTTTTAAAGAGTAATAATAGGAAATAAAGAAAATTAGGAACGATCGCTAACGTGATTGGTCGGCTTCAGTCATACGTCGGCGGCCTGTCAGTTCCAGTCATACGATCTGTCATCATCCTTCGTACAATGCGAAAAAGGGAAGTTGGAAGGAGTCGGAGCAGAGAGGGGACACCGCGGAGTCTTATGAGATCCTCCCGTACAGCTGCTTGGTTCCTGCTGTCATCACTGTGATCAAATACACACTGACACACACTGAAGTATCCCAGAGGCAATAATCACACCCGAAATCTTCCACCGGTTTGCCGGTAAGTACACAATATTAGCGTTAGCGCTTAGTCTGGAGGCTCCCTCTACTGCGACTGCAACTAAACAGCCTTAGCCCCGTTTCAGCGCTTTTTAGCAAGCTGAGCTAATGACAGCGAGCCGGAACTGAGAGGAAGGGCCGCTGGTTAACATTTTACTGCTTCACATTTTTCAGTGTATAAAGCTAAGATGATTCATTATATTCAGTCATACTGACAGTGTTTTCTCTCACATATGTTAAAGAGTTTTATTCTACTGACCGATAAGCCTACTCACGTTATGAAGCTAATGCTAGCATGTTAGCTGTCATTAGCTGTACACACCCAAACCTGTGTCATCTGTTATTTTAGCCTTTCCCAAACGTTTCCAAAGTGTCACTTGTATGAGCCGGTGTATAAGCGCGATGTCCGGCATTTCTCACGTCAAAATCTAGAGCGACATATGTAATATATATGCGCTTATTGCATAAATTATAAAAAATCCGATGTGGAGCTAGCAGTGGCTAGCAGTGCCAGTGGTGGTAGCCTGTCAACAACAGTAGCAGCAGCAACAACATAACAGGTTATTTGTGTTTTTAAAATTGGTGTCGTAAAGCTGAAAAGCAAGCATTTGTGGCATGACATTCTGTTGTGTTAGATTTCTGAGAGTTTTAACGTCATGTGAAATAAAAATGCAGGAAAACATGAATCTGAGGGGAAACAAATTGTAAGTTACTGGCTAAAGTAGATAAACGACAAAAAATGTTTCGGACATAAGTCATCAGATAAAGTAGATAAACAACAACAACAAAAAAATGTTTCGGACATAAGTCATCAGAGTGTACATGAAATATATAAAACAACAACCTCAACATATAATGTCAATACGAGGTGTCATTGTGCACTAAATCAAGTCTGAAATAAAGTATAGCATATGCTTGGCTTTGATTCAGTAACAATAATTTTCCAAAAAAAAAAAATGTATATAACAAAATAAAGTTTTCTTGTCATAAAACATTTAAAAAATGCTACTTAGCACTGTTAGCCTTATTATATGAATACAAAATGATAATTACATTTTGCTAAAACGTCCAATTCCATATTTCTCACTGCGCTGTAGCTCGGGGATGTAACATAACTTGTGGCTCTCTTCCACAGAAGTGGAAGAAGTTAGTGCAAACGTTAGTGCTGCTGTTCTCATCTTTAACTACTTTGTTTTTCCCAAACATAGTGTATTTCCTTTACCTGCTATTGTTTGCCAGTGCTTAGTGAAAGGCTTAGTGAAAACTGTGAATAATTTAATAACTTTCTGTTCAGATCCAACTGATCTCTAGTTTTGTTTTCCAAATGTGGCTTGGCCTTAATTCATCAGTACATGGCAAGGAATCAAAACAGCTTAGTCAGTTAGGATCAATTAAACAGCTAAGTGCTTCACGTTCGTCATCATTCTTGTCCTAAGTATGAGGGTCATTAGTTGCTTTTTTAGCTATATTTGTTTGTTTGTAAAAAAAAAATAAAAATAAATTACATTAATTATAATGTTTGTTCTCCTCTTTTTTACAGGTATTTTCTGAATTCCTCACAGTACAGTCAGTGTCCAGAGGAAGGGAGTGGACAGAGTGACATGGCAAGTAGAGGTGGAGCTACGCGACCCAATGGGCCAAACACAGGCAACAAAATCTGTCAGTTCAAACTTGTGCTTTTAGGAGAGTCAGCAGTTGGGAAGTCAAGTCTCGTACTTCGCTTCGTCAAGGGACAGTTTCATGAATTCCAAGAGAGCACAATTGGAGGTACGTTTCTCCTTTATAGCAGTTTGTGACTCCTTCTGTGAATCTTTCAGTTTAAAAAACAATTGTTAATATGAGCTTTTTTAAATAACATATATTTGAATGTTTTAAATCAACAGCCAAACATACATCCACAGTTTGGTACAAACTCACAGTACAATATCAGCTATAATTTTCAAGGTTTTACATTTTTTTCTGTGCTAATAGTGTTATAGATAATGTTAGCCAGTGTTGTTGTTGCACAATTTGCACACAAAAAAGATCCATTCTGCCCACCAAGCTAAGAAATGCAAACTGGTCACTTTGTCTTGTCCTTATGTCACTAAATACATCTTTTGCATCTACCAGGCTGGAGGGTTTGCATTATTGGTATAGTAAAAATAATTTAGAGAGCTGACAAATGTGTGATTCAATGTATATTTTATGTTTTTTTTGTTGTTTTTTTTTTAAGTGTACTTAAGTCATTGAAAATGATGCATTAAAGTTCAAGCAGTGGGACATAAAAAGTGAAAGACCCTACAGACCTAAGTCAATAATACAGATTTACTTACACGAGTGGAACCGACATTGGATGTTTAAATCAATATTGTGAGGTCACACACAAGTGGTTTCATTGATGTTATGTGTCTTGAGGTGACATTCATAATGTCATAGTTTATTAAACAAAAACTAAGCTACTACTCCTCTGTTCTAGAAATAAAATGCCATATTCCAAGCTCTTTTCTTACCCTCTTGTATCAACTTACCTGAAGCCCGTGGGTGAATTTGTTTGTCAGCTACTGAATCTTTATACCAGATATGTAAACGATATGAATGACCAAACAGAGAATGTGTTATATTCATGGATTATTTGAACCTTGGGTTTTGTTAATTTATGAATATACATTGTAGAATATTAGTAACTGTTGTTCTGTTGTGATGCAGATGATCCTGTAAGCAGATCATTTCAGAACTAAACCGGAAGATACATGTTTATCTTCCGGTTTAGTTCTGAAATGATCTGCTCACAGTTCGCCGTTTAGATACTACAGACTCCTTTGTCATTGGCTGTTCCCTCTTTGCTTTTTTTGCAGCTGCCTTTTTGACTCAGACAGTATGTTTGGATGACACAACAGTCAAGTTTGAAATCTGGGACACGGCCGGTCAGGAGCGCTACCACAGTCTGGCTCCCATGTACTACAGAGGTGCCCAGGCAGCCATTGTGGTCTACGACATAACAAATGAGGTGAGTTAGAGTCGATGATAACCATTATAGAAAGTATCACGTTGTTAAGCCAAAAACAAAACAAAATGTAGACATGAGTGGTCACAAGTGAAACTTTGCTAAAATGTAAAATGTAAATGTAAGGATGGCATAACAAACTCTTTCTGGATTCAATGTTTTCACTTTTTGTGATTCTTATTTTTCCCCTTTCATTCCAAAGGTTTTTAAAATTTGAATTGTTTGGTTATATATTGTTTAAAAAGTATAACTTGAGTTTGAATTGGTTGGTTATATATTGTTTAAAAAGTATAAGTTGTAGTAAATTAATTTCTCACATCTACAAAAATATATTAATTGCAAACACATCTTCTCAGTCCTAGGCTGCATTTAAAAGTCCTAATGGACGACTTCAGCCCCTGATGTTTTTTCTAATCCTGTTAGCCTACACCATTTTTTTCCTTCTCTTCACAAGATCAGGTTTCCGAACAAAGAAAATCCTTTTACCCACAGCTTAAAGACGAGGCATTTATCTCACATTTTTTGAATTTTTTTTGTGGTGCATAATTCAGGTAAACACACCCACATTTCTGCTTCCAAACACAGCTTTCCCTTTCAGTTGACAATGGCTTTATTTGTCTTGTGTCTTGCTTTTTAATGATGAAAAGTATTTGTTTTTTAAGAAAAACACTTCTCATCTTTCTGTTTGCTCTAGGAGTCATTTGTACGGGCAAAAAACTGGGTTAAAGAGCTTCAGAGACAAGCCAGTCCAAACATTGTAATAGCCCTGGCAGGGAACAAGGCTGACCTGGCTAATAAGAGAGCACTCGACTTCCAGGTTTGTTGCATTTCCAACTGGTTTTAATCTCTTTGGAACTTTGAAGTAATTGCCAATGTACATACCTGTCAAGTTGTGTTTTACAAATATCCTTGTGTTCGGTGTTCACAGGATGCACAGTCATACGCAGATGACAACAGTTTGCTCTTCATGGAGACATCGGCAAAGACCTCGATGAACGTGAACGAGATTTTCATGGCTATCGGTGAGAATGTTTTTAGACAAGTTGTCGTATAAGGACACAAAATAAGGTGTTACATAAATCTAACAATCATCTGCATAAGCGTTGATCATGACAATCAGTCCCAGAATCATGCCTTGCAGCACCACAATGACAAAAATGTCCGTCAGCTAATTTTCAAAACCTCTGTTTGAATTATGTAAAACTTTGTCTCATTGTAATTACAGCAAAGAAACTTCCCAAGAACGAGCCTCAGGCTGCCGGGGCCAGCAGCGGTCGCAACAGAGGAGTGGACCTGACAGAGACGGCTCAGCCCACCAGCCGCCCCTGCTGCAGTAACTAATGAAGCGCTGCTTATCATCATCTTCATCTTCATCTTCATCATCATCCCCCCTACCCTCCACACACACACAAACACATTCTCCACTCTGGACACTGGGCTCTGTCATCAGACCTGATCCTACGTCTCCTCTTCCTCCTTGTCCTCGTCCACATGTTCCTTCACCCCTCCTCCTACTCTTTCTCTTAACCCCCGCCCGTTCTCCTCTCCCACCTCTTCATCACTCCTCTGGATTTAGCTCAAAGACTCTGTATAGCTGCATTTCTAATACCTTATTTTGTTGATGTTTTTTTTTTTTTTTCTCTTTGTTCTTTTTAACTTTTTTTAAGAAGTGTATATCAGTATAATGGATGCATGTATCACTACAACGCCTAAAAACACACACACTTGACACACTTTACACCCACAAACCTTTTTGTGTTTCTAATATCGAAGACAACCCCCGGTGGAAGAAGGCCGAGCGAGCGAGCGAGAAAGCAGTAAGTGTGTGTGTGTGTGTGTGTGTGTTTGTTTTGTCGACAAAAGGTCGTGGTCTGATCTGTCACGGGGCTGTGTATTATTTTGCCCGTCATGTTCTTGTACACGTTTGGCTTCCCGTCGCTGAAAATCCGAAGAAAAATGAATCATCATACTCAGAGGCAACATTTCCACCACCTGTGAATGTCCTGACAGTGTAAGGAAGAACAACTCCCATCTCTTTTACCATCTGATATCAAAGATGACGTTCTAGTCCCAGACTTCTGTCCAACAGTACTGACTCACATGACGAACCAATCTGCTACCAACCAAGAAAATACAAAAAAAATAAATAAAAAAGTCAACTGTGCACTACTAAAGTAGCCATGATGATTCAGAGAAGGCCTTCCAGGAGTGACTGTCAGCCTGAGATGATTCTCTTGGGGGATAAAAGTTGAGGAACTTCAGTTTCTTAGCAGTTTAAACCCCGTGTCAGTAAAACCACATTTTACTGTGAAGTGTCAGATACCTGTAGTCCCAGGAATCTCTTTTAGGGATCTATTCAGTTCTTGCTTGTGATGGCTGTTTTTAATGTGGCCTTTACCATCTCCCAGTCTGGCAGGAAGGTGTCTTGATGTTCCCATCAATCCATTGGTTGAAAGACTTATTAGTTCCTGCACTCAGAGATAGTCCTGTAGCTGAAGACGACTTCTACGCCAAAAAGGAAACCTGTTTTTTTTTTTCTTAACTTCTCCTTCAATGGGATATGTTACTGTTTGACTAAACCAGTCTTGGATTTCTCATCCTGCTTCAGTCTTTATGCTTGTGAACAGTTAGTAAACTTGGACTTGCTTAAAAATTTCCATCACCAGATCTCGATTTGTCAGGATTCGTGACCCGCCTTACGACTGGAGAGTGATCAGCAACTCGATTGTTTTGCTGGTACAGAGGCACATCTCTGAACACAATCCCTGGTGAGAATTCAGCCTGACCAATGAAAGAATTAAAACAATTCTCCATCTCCGAAAAGGTGTTTCCCTGTCTGATTAATCTTCGTCCTACTTTCCTCTCAGTGTAGAGGAAACATGAGGAACTGACACCTTTAGGCCAAAAATGACTGGTAATAACTGGTGTGACGGGATCCTGTAAATCAATCTCTGCTTTTCGGTGAATGTAGCAGCGTTGGGTCCATTACAGAAGAACATGTGTCACTACTGCTGCTGATCGGATTTCTCATTACAAAACAAAACAAACAAAAAAAAGGAAACCTGAACAGGGTCAAACTTCAAACCTGAGAAAAGAAAGTCGTCTCTGTGTCGTCGTGCATGAAGTGACCTTGAAGAACTGGGTGTGTGTTTAGAAGTCAAACTCAAGACACAGACTGACCATACTGCCATGTGTCAGGACATAAGACCTAAAAATTCCAAACAACTGTGCAGTAGGTCTGCTCTCTGTCTTTTCATTTTTCTTTTGGTGGGGAAAAAAAATAGGTTTAAGTCAAACTGTTCAAAACAGTGGTGGTCTTTATTTTTTATTTTTTAGGTATGTGTAGTGTAATAAACTAAATTCCTATGTGGTGTCTCGTTCTTTTCCATGGTCATGTTCAAGAGAAACTTTTATTGCATTGCACAGTGTTGATCATGTTTTAATCGATGATGACTGCCCTTGGATTTTATATGAATGACTGTTGGACTCGCTAACCTTCAGCTATTAACAGATAGCGTCAACCTAACTGGTGGTCTCTCTCTTTCTCGCTGTCTGTCTCTCTACAGCTCAATGAATTTTATTAATGTACAACAGCATTACTAGTGATGGGCTGATCAGTTTTTGAGTGTCTGAATACAACTTAATAAATTCCATAAAGTCCAAAAGGGCTGGCTTTGTGTTATCTTTTCTCACCACACGATGGCAGCATTGGAACAGCTCGGATCCAACATTAGAAAGTGAGGGAGAGAGATTCAGTACAGTAGCAGCTCCGTTCTCCAATGAGTTCGACATGTTTTTTTGGTTGTTGTTTAGACTTTGGTGTGGTTTAGAAATGACAGCTTCTAACGAGGAACCATTTGGCATTTTTCAAATACAGTAAAACTTGACTGAGACATCCGTACATTCCACAGGTTTAAGTCTGATTGCGTGTGTTCTCCACAGTGTGACCTTTCTCATGTTTGACAGCCACCACTGACCTCAGGGATTCTTGGGAAAACTCGTTTCATAAGTCGGAACGTCACTTATTCCATCACCAGTAGACGTGCCAACGAAAGCTTCATCTAAATGCTGGATGCTATGAGTCACTGCGTTCTCCGCCACTGTTCTCCCAGGAGAGCTGCTTCTACTGCTGACTTTGTACCAGCAGGAAAAATATCACAGGCCTTTGATGTAAAGATCAAACACTCAATGAAAAGTGACCAGAGTTTCTGAAGATTAGAATCCCCCCTCTGGGAGATTGTAACCTCCGATCTTTCCCTTTATCACCAAAACGCTTCACAGAGCAAATGTTCAAAACAAATCTGGAAATGTTAGATCTGCTATTTCTGCTTACTTACGGAATGTTCCCTGGGTATTTGTCAGTATTTCTTTTTAAACAAAGTTCTTTTCATACTTTGATAGTAGAATTGTTTTTGTTAAACAGAAATCTAGAAACAAGACGATAAATACTGGGACAGAAGCAAATAAATAACCCAAATACCATTTTGGGACGTTGATAAATACTTGCACAGAAGCAAATAAGGAGAAAAATAACCCAAATACCATTTTGGGACGTTCGATAATGAAGAGGTCACAGAGGGAGTCAAGATGAGATAAGAAAGACGTATCTACTAAAGGCTTACTCAAGTAAGAGTTCAGTAAGACTTTGTAAAACTTGGGGAAAGAACTGTCTAATAATATAAAGGTAATAACAAGAAGAAGCAGATCTTCAATTGGTGGCCTCTGGGCCAAATCCAGGCCACCGCACCAACAAATCTGGCCCCTGATTGGATTCCAAAATAAACCTTAAATAATAATGTTAGGCAAAAATATGAGTTTTATTTCATTTTAATTCCAGCCCTCAGTTGTCTGTCCAGGATAGCTTTAGCCGACCCACAAGTAGAATTCTGTCGTTATGGAATCAGAACTCCCAGACTGGCCTGTCTGCAGTCCAGATCTGATCCTAATGGAAACAATCTGGAGAATTAGACAGCAGTGACTACCAATGGCAGCAGCACTTTTTAATACAGCAGGGATCTGCAAAAGTACTGTGTAAAAATGTGATGTTTAAACCTTTACAGTGTGTTACAGGCTTCATTTATTACATGTCTTTTAATGGAAAAAGTTTGTTCAGTTATAACAGTCATGACATATTACAGATTACTTTGCTTTAAAATGGTTCTCTGCAAATTAGGTCTTCTGAGACTACAGACTACCAGCTGCTCTGTGATCTTACAAATACCTAAATCTAATTGAATCTACTTTCTCTTTTTATTCCATTGGTTAAAAAAAAAAGAAAAAAGAAGAAACCCCGTCAAGGAAAGATATTTGGCGGTTGAACCAACACTTGTCACACTGGTGTTTCAGCGGCGGCGGTGGCAGAGTCTGCTTCATTCTGACCACAAATGAAATAAGTTGTAGCAGAAAAAATCTTAGATGTAATCTCTCGCAAAACCCAGCAGTGATATTTGTTTCTTTAAACGACTCCCCAAGTCAAGCCAAGCTGTCTGAAACTGTTTAACTTTTTACTTCACCAGCTTGCATGCCAGTCCCTCACATCGAAAATCTGGACCGTCTGCCAGATTCCTATTTGGTGGAAAGAATTTCAACTTATTGAAAACTGAGACCAATCTAAAAGGGAATGCACTTTTCCTATTTCGGGACGTCCACGTAGTGGCTTTTATGTGATTTTGAAGCATTATGGAAAACTGTCTCCTGAGTGGAAGAGAAGCAAGACAGTCTTGACTCTGGACAGGACTGCAGTCAACATGTCTTTACTCTTTAATCACAACTGACACTGAAAAAAAAAACCAAATCACACAAACTGGCATGGAGCTGGTTGGTGTCACAGTAGGGGATGGAGACAGAGTGAAGTGACCCGTCAATGATACAGACGCAGAAGAAGAAGTCAGCGAAGAAATAAGAACCAATTGGTTTAAACTCAAAATGGCTTGCTGTGGAGATTTGTCACGACTAATTAAAAATCCTGACTTGGTTGTTTTAAATCTTTTGACTGCAGTACTGCTGTTTTACCATGTGAGAGCAGCAGTGAACTGCGCCCACCGACAGTCATCGCTCAACATCTGTGGGAAAAATGGTTAAAAAAAAGAAAGAAATCACAAACCTAAATTCGAATACCAGTCACTCAATACATCACAGAAATAGATGCTTTTACACTAGATTTCCACTTTTCATGACAGACTGCTGTTAGAGTGAGCTGCGAATTCCAGAAAACCACATAGGAAAGTTGCTAACAGATTCTTATTTTGAGGCTTTCTGCGAGAGTCCAGTGTACTTAAAAGGTAGCATAGATATTTGAAGAAAAACAAATGTGGAAAGAAATAACTTGGTGAATTGCCCAGAAGAAAATCAGCCAATAAAAATCACACACAAAACCAGTCACCGGCCATGCATACATTGGCAGCGATGTATCATGACTTCATTGACTCAGACTTGTTCTGAGCCACAGCTGCTGATTGTGGTGTTTACACTGCAGTTGTCAAGTATTCCTCATCTGAAACGCAATCGCACTGATCCTGTGATGTAGGACTGCCGTCCATCTACCCCAGTACTTCTCAAATAGTGGGGCGGGCCCCCCTGGAGGGGCGCGGTGAGGTTCCAGGTGGGGCGTGAGGGGCAGTGGTTTGTACAGTTTTCAGGTTCATAATAGTATTTCAATTCGTGGGATGTGGGTCTGCGAGGGGTCGTGAAGACATTTCTGTCCTCAAGGGGGTGCATGACAGAAAATAATTGAGAACCACTGATCTATCCAACTGGCGAAGTGAAGCCTTTTAACCACGTTCTTAACACATCTTAACCACAACTTCATCACTTTTGAGCCAACACAGCAGAGCAACACGGAGGAAAAAAAACATAATCTGTGAGTACCAGTAGAACTGGGATCAATTAACCCAGGAATCTGACATATTCCAGTTTATGGAGCACTTCATCCCCCGCATTCATTGCTGAAAGGTATAAAAAGGAAGATGATACTGTATATGATCGTCACTGATGGTGGGCCCCGGAGGGAATAAAAGCCTGAGCTCACAGAGTTTTACTGCAGCTCTCTTCAATCTGAAGTGACTGAAATAAGCTCAATAACCCTGAGCAGGAGATAAAATCACTGTCTAAGTCCAGACTGCCTTTTCCCCCCTCCTCCTCCTCCTCACTCTGCAGCTTCAGGAAGGTTATATTATTAGGAGATTGTCATCTTTCAGCTGCACCACCTTCAGTAACACTGCTGGACGTCTGACTTGGTGCCTACATCTCCTTTTCCCAGACTTTTTCTTCCCATATAGTCAGCCTTATAATCCTTATAAATCTGATCAGGACAACAGTTGGTGTAAGTGGTACAGTATGAGCTGGTTTAGAAAAAGAATCACATCTATTGTCATTGTACAAATATACTGGCATTCTGTTCCACAGTATGACGTAACCCGATTTTTGATACTGTAGCCATGTCACTCAGCTATGCTAACAGTGGTGACATCATAATCTAGGAAATAAAAACAAAGTCTGGCTTACGTTGGGAGCCATAATGAAGGAGAAAATGTCCCAAAAAAAAAAAAAAACCAACACAGTGAAAGAAAGTGTAGTAGTAATGTAGTACAACCCAGTGTATTATGTACAACTGGTGAATGTAAACAAAACAGTCTTCCACGTATAGTACCGCGTGACAATTCATTATCTGCTCCGCTCGCCAACTAGGTTCTTTGTGAAATTTTTTTTAAGGCCGTACGAATGATGGAACGAGACTTTCTAAAAACATTTATGGGAGATGGTGATATAACCACGAAACGCTGTAGTGTGTGACAATTCATTACCTGCTCCGCCCGCCAACTAGGTTCTTTGTGAAAATCTTTTAAGGCCGTACGAATGATGGAACAAGACTTTCTAAAAACATTTATGGGATATGGTGATATAACCACGAAACGCTGTAGGTCACGGACGACATAAACACAGTCAAAATAGAACCAGACCCTGAAGTCAAAGCCGTTTTTTACTGGGTTTCACTTTAATATTTACAGCACCTTTAGTGGATGGGCAGTCTCCTGACACACACACACACACACACACACACTCCCACACCCACAGAGATACACTTAGGGTGTAAAAGGTCAGAGTGTCCGTCTCACTCGAGTGACATCTGTTGGAGCCTGTAATTAATGGCTCTATAATTGATGTGCCTGTCACTCCTGCAGGGAGATTACAGGCAGATGAGGTCAGTTTGGAAATCATTCAACTGTGATGTTGGAGAACGGCCTCATAGGTAAACAGGTTTGATGCACAACACGGTTTTATTTTCTTATTTAAATGTAGACAGTTGGACATAATAGGGAAATGTAGACAACATAGCAGAACTTAGGGGAGAAAAACTGACATTCCTAATATATTACAATATATATATATGTTGATTTATTTAATCATTTGCATGTAGTGATGACGCTGGATGATACGATATAAAGGATCGTACTCCAACACCTACGCTCACTCTCCTAGGCTACTATGGATCCTCTACAGTTTGCAGAACGCCCATCAATTGGCGTAGATGATGCACTCATCTACCTTCTGCAGGATGCACTGTGAGAGTCATATTCTCTGACTTCTCCGGTGCCTGCAAAACCATCCGGCCATCACTCCTCAAGGTGAAGCTGGAAGGGGCAGGAGTTGACAGTTACCTAAATAC